ATTTTGATTAATTATATGCATTGTAAGTACAAATTCTTCATGAGACATGAATGGAGTAATAGAATATAGCTTAAATAAAGAATTTTGTAAAGTATTGAAATTTTTTGTATAAAGTGCTACAAGTTTCCTGTGCAAAGCTTGTTTGAAATGAAATAGGCATCCAATTATACGGACTTTAGGGAAAATTTGTTGAAGTGCCTCTATCATTCCCTTTTCAAAATCACAATGAATTTGAATTAGCTTTGAAAATTGAATACCCTTGACAGTAAAAATATATTCATGTTGTAAACAAAAACGATAAAAACGGGTTGATAAAAAAGTGACACTTTACATGGCAAAAAATAGAGCCTTACTTTTGAGATACTTGAGATTGAAACTGAATCTTATGAAGCGGTGATCTTGAATCACTACATCATAAGGTTCAGTTTCATATAAAATTTGTTATTCTTTTGGAATTATTTCTTATAAGATTTTACATCTTTTAGCGGGGAATGTTTGTTATCATGTATATATTATAAATATTTACACGATAACGAACATTCCTCACTAAATTACTGAGAAACTTTGAGGAAATGTCGAACAATTTCCTCAAAGTTTCTCAGATTTATATAGATAACTAGAGTCCCCTAGGCACTGATTCTGGTTCAGTACCTAGGAGGCTCTGGTTATCTAACGAACTGATAAAATGTTTTTAAATTTTGTGAATATTGCTACCTGTGAAGCACTGACTTCAAATCAGTACCTCACAGGTAGCAATTACATTGAAATATGGGAGAAACTTTGTCCGAATGTTAAACTATTCGGACAAAGTTTCTCCCATTTGTAGTGGAGATGGAAGGCTTTGAGGTATATTGTATTAATATATACCCCAAAGCCTTCCATCTCCACTTGAAAGTGTCCAAACTTTGGGTTAATAGTTTGCAATTAACCCAAAGTTTGGACACTTTCTAGAAGGAATTGGATGGTAAGAGATATACATTCATATGGTATATCTCTTACCCTCCAATTCCTTCTTAAAATGGGGGAAACTTTGTCCGAATGTTAAACTATTCGGACAAAGTTTCTCCCATTTTGCGAAGGAATTGGAGGCTATGAGATACTGATGAAATGTCAGTAACTCATGGCCTCCAATTCCTTCCTAAAACTCATAAAAGTGGACCTTACATGCATATAAAATTTGACATGTAAAGTCCACTTTTTGTGAGCGGGGATTTGACTCCGTCAAATCCCCTTTTTCGTTTACGAGATTCAAATGCCTTCTTATAAGATTCAAATGTGCGGTTTTTCATGAATATAAATAAAAGTGGTAGATATTGATTTGTTGAAGGTTCACAAATCATAATTGTTAGCATCTGTCCTTTTTGAAAATGTTTTGGTGTAATTTTAAAAGTTCCATCGCAAAATAAATCTGTGGCTTCTTTTGCAAATTGAATTGCCTTCTCAAAACCAAAAAACATCGTCTCACAATTTGCTTGAAAATCATGGCCAATGAAAAACTGCTCGCCATTTATTAAACAAAAATTAGCAATTTCATCGTCTGTAATTTTTTCTCCAACAGAAAATTTTCTGGACTTATTATAAACTTCCCTGACCAATGAATCTTTAATTAATGGGTTTTCATCAGTACCAACAGCAAGTTCTGTCATAAATTTTTTAATCTGCTGAAAAGTGCCGTTGTCTTCAGAAAATTTTGCCATTGCCTTATTGTATATTTCTGTCAGAGTCATTGATTTATGAAGATCATTTTTTTCATTTTGTAACTTTTTAAATTGTCTGCATTCGGGTATATGTTCCTTTTGTAAATCTTCGGAAACTGAACTGTTCTCAATTTTAACTAAATAACGTGCTTGACAAGAATGATCGATGCAACGGTAGTAACGTTCAATATTATTTGAATTAATAATATTGTATGATCATGCGAATAAAGCATATCTTTGCAAACAATTGTATCAGGATATTTTCCAGTAACTGCGGGAATATTTTTAACTGCAATATAACTAAAATATCTTCTGACAGCTTTAGATTCATTTTCGGCGTATTTAATATTAAAATATTGAAGAACTTGTTTGATTATATTCGTTTTTTCATCTCTCGATGTTGATTTTGGTATTTATCAGATTGTTCCCTGATAAATATTTTATTTTCGTCTGTAAAGTTTGCTCTTTTTTGATTAAATATAGATGATTTTCCCATTAAAAAATGAAATGATGCAAAATTTACGAAAACCGTTCGAAAATTGAATAAAAATGAAAAGTAATACTTAAATGAGGAATTCTTTGAGATATTGGTCTTAGATTGAATGTAGCGTCATTCTTATATAGAATATATATTCATATCATCGGAAATATGATAAAAAGCATATAATAAATGTCAAAAAAGTGAACAAATAAGCAAAGATATTTTTTAAAAAACAATGAAAAGTAATACTTAAATGAGGAATTCTTTGAGATATTTGTCTTAGATTGAATGTAGCGTCACAAATTTCACAAATATAATTTACTATACAATTTTATTTATTTTTTTAAAATGGCTGACGACAGTCTGTATCAACTAACTCAACTAGTCAAGCATAATGATTATTCTTCGGATTCATTAAATCAACTTTATCAATGCATAAGTACAATGACAGAAAGATCAATTGGATGCTTGAATTGGGATAAATTTTTCAAAAAAATCACAGTGACTGATGAAGTTCTTTTACATTTTTTAGCATCCGTTTTAAACATTGAAAAGATATCAGAATGTTTCAAGGATTATATTTTTTATCATAATATTAATCTTGAAAAATTCAGTAATTTAACTGAAACAGAACAACAAACAATTTTAAATTCCTACAAAGCGGATAAATTTACATATTACATAATGTGCTCACAAATTGTAAAATCAAACTGGAACAATTTATCCCAAACTTTAGTTAATATTGCAAATCAATATTTGCCATTTTTAGATGAAGAAAAGCAAATATATATATTTACTGAAATAACTGGCAATTATCAAAATTTTGAAATTTCAGTTGCAAACTTGTTACTTTTTTATGAAAACAATGAAGAAAAATTAAGCAACTGTTTTAATTTAACATTGTTCCAGCAAATTTATTCCAAAAATGGAATCGAGCAAATGATATTTTTTTGCTGCAAATACAATTTGTTGCAATAACACTTCTATCAATTTTTACAATCTCCTTGAAATTGAAGAAATGAATCCATTTGATTTTTTTTATTTCTCAATTCAATATAAAGAGATATTAAATTGCGATGATTTTCCAAAAGTTACAGAAGTAATCACAGGTTTAATCTCAGCTTCAAATATTAATGCTATTATGCGAATTTGCCAAAAAATTTTGGATAAAATTACATTTTATAAATGTAATTATTGCCATATTACCTCAATATGGAATTTTATCACAAATGCAGCAATAATTCTTCCTGATGAAGATTTATTAATCAAATTATTAAAATTCATAGAAAAAACAGAAAAAGCAACAGATGAATTATTCGAACCGGAGAATGATTTGAGTTTCTATGAATATTTAAATTCGATTTTCTCAGATATTACATCTGCGAGAAATAAGCAATTTCTCTTGGAATTTCTAAATACCCATGAAGATGACTTCATTTATGATTAAACATTGTGAGGTCATTTTTGATCAACAAATTAATTGAAATTCCGATCAAAAAAAATTCACAAATTGGATCAAAAAAATCGAATCTCAAGTTAAAAATAAAAAATTTCTACATTTTTATCAAATTTAGATTTTTTTTTCAAATCATGCGAATTGATTGAATAATTGCATATTTTATCCCATGCATCTAGAAGTATGTGTAATATTTTTGCTTTCATCAAGAAATTGTCGAATTTGATCTTAATTTTTTTTTGAAAAATATACTTTTAGAAAAAGAAATAGTGATTGAATAGCTGCTCATGCTGTAAAAGGGTTATTTTTACAAGTAAAAAATTGTTATTTTTCGAGCAAGTCGAGGCTTTTTTACCATCTTATTTTTGAAAAATTTACGAAAAATTATATCTGAAAAAACGCTTCATTTTGATATCTTACAATGATAAAATACCAATGTTGCTGGGATATAATAGCTACACCTGGACATCTACTACATTAATGCGTATGACAGGTAAAGTTGATTTCAAAAGTATAGCCTGGAAAGATTACAATAAATCAACAATAATTCAAAAAAATTTCTTATAAGTTAACATAATAAAAATTTAATTTTTATATTGCTTGTATTATACTTAAGTATATAATATATTTAAATCTTAGAATGAAAATTCGGGACGCCCTAGCTATTCAATTTTCCCTTAGGACGCCCATAAACCTCTCAAAAATGTGATGTAAATATCACAATTTTGAGAAATTTACACTAGGACGCCTTAGGACGCCAACCCCATTTTTTACCCTCTCAAATTGAGCTTCTCAAATATAAGTTGGCCTATTCAAATAATAAAATTAAATAATATTTAAAATAATAAATAAAAGTGATTGAGGTCATAGCAAAACGGCTGTTTGGAGGCAGTTAGGAGCTAGCGGTTGAAGCGATAACATTCACAGCCAACATCTACGGTCAAGCGGCAGCATTCAAGGGCAACATCTACAATCAAGCGGCAGCATTCAAGGGCAACATCTACGATCAAGCAGCAGCAAGGAGCTATGGCAGCAACGAACTACGGCAGCAAGAGGCTACGGCAGGTCAAGCGGCATCAAGGAGCTACGGCAGGTCAAGCAGCATCAAGGAGCTACGGCAGCAAGAGGCTACGGCAAGTTAAAGATCAGTCAGATCTGGAAATATCTTTTTCAGGATTTCATTTGTCATGAAAAGCTTCAATAGGATTCTACACTTTATTAGATCTTCACGTGCGTTTTGATTAAACCTATTACGCAGGTTCCGCACAATTGAAATCATTCTTTCCACATCAGCTTCGGTTGCAGCAATAGACATGAATTTTAAGGAAATCTCTTTCAATGCCTTGAAATTTGCATCACATGCTACTCAAAACCTTTGATCCAAGCAGGTGAGGTCGGTGTTGTTCCTGATTTCACTCTCATTCATATGTATAAAGTTGGAAAGAGCTTTCTTGTACTCATTAGCTATGCTCTTGGCCGAACTTCTCTTGTAGAACCTCGCTTCTGCTTCTGCACGTCTCGAAAGCATCTCGATCATAAAATCGTTGAAGCTGTACTCTTCCACTTCTTGCATTGACAGAGACGCCCATTCACCAAGGTTCCTGCCTAGTCTCCTCCTTGGTTCATTCTCTTCAACTTCTTCATCCTGAGCAATGTCTTCTGCATCTACTTGGCCATCACCTTCAATTGCTTCGTTCTCAATCTCGGGCTCTTCTATATCTAGATTTCTGTCCAATTGATCCTCTGCCACTTCATCCAAATGATCAGGGGTGTAGCTCCTTGGAGGGATTTCAAGTTCAGCATTGATAGGTATTGGTTCTTGGAAGAAGAGTGAAACGTCTGGCTTGTACTCAGTATGCATGTTCAATTCTGCGCGGATGACTGACCGGCCCCATGGAGTTAGACCAAAGGCAAATTTCATCAAAGCGTAGTTGCCCTGTTTGTCAAAAACTTCATTCATGTTGGCGATTAATGCATCTGCAATGCGCTTTGACGAACTTGATAATTCAGGACGATTTGCAATTCCGGTCAACTGCTCAATCGTCGATTGAAACATTGGATAGATGTAGCAGAAGCAGCCAACGTCACTCTCTGCATAATTCAAGAGTTTCTTGATTGGTAAAAGAATCTCTTCGAAATTTAACAACCATTGTGGAAGTCCATCCTTGAAATCAATTCCCATATCCCTTAAGATCTGAACAGATTCCGGTGGATCATCCATATTGAACAATTCATAAATTTTAGGGTGTTTTTCTTTTATCCACTTCAGAAGATCCCAGAAAAACATCCAGCGATGATCCGGAACATGAATAATCCTCATATTCAATGCCCTTCTCGTGTCCGGCTTCGATAACTCCTTGCTTATCGCTTTGCAATAATTAATTTGCATTGCGAAAGCTGCACAATTGTCTGCCGTATGCTTCACCACTAAGTTGAGGAGATGCGCAACACATCGGATATAAACGGTTTGAAGACCCGGATATAGTGCTCCGCATCTCCTCCAGTGGCACAGCCCTTTAACTTGGGCGGGGCATCCATCGGCAACAATTGCAGAAAGGAAATCCTTTGGGAAGGTAAAACATTCAAAGAAATTATTGTAATCCCTGGCATTCCAACCATCAGCGATCATAGTATCAATGAAGATATGGTTCTTCATTTTTGCTGGATTGCTAGCCATCACAAAAAAGCCATGCCGGCTTCCGTGTGATGCCGCATCAATTGTTATCGAATAGTAGCCCATCTTGTCAAGCTCAACGTGTATTTTTGGAGCTACCAAGTCGGCTAATGTAATGATTCCATCCCTTATCTCGTCTCTTATATATGGGATCTTGAGTTGAAAATTGATTACTCCCTTGAAGGTGGAGTAGACATGTCGGGCGAAATCTTCTAGTACACCTGAAGCGGCCATATTGATTGACATGTTGGTATCCACAACAAATTTTACAACATAAAGTAATTTTCTATCTTGTTTTATTAAATCTCTTCTCGTATATGGATTATTTTCACATTGTATTTGATATATATGCTGATGATCTTCATCAAATTCTGATGGTTTTCGATGATAAATGCAGCGCATATATGTTTTTGTTAGTAAATTGTAATGTATCGCTAAACAATAACAATAAAGTCTTTTTCGTTCTTTCGATTTTTCGCTTGTATCTGGAAGATAAGCAATATTGAAACATACTCGACATTTATTATTAGTTGAGAATTTAGTATCCTCGAATTTTGGTAAGGGAGGTACTTTTCGAGGGATATTTTTGGGAGGAAGTTTGCAATCAATCCATCCCTCAAATTTGGATTCATATTCATCTTGTGTTTCAGTCATTAATTCTTAAAAATAAAAAGGGTAAAAACTAAATAAAATGGGTAAAATTCAATAGTGTCTGTGCTATCGTTCAATTTGAAGGTGTCTTTTGAAACCGCAAGACACATTGAATTTTTGAATAGTGTATTATGGTTTGACAGACACCAATGAAAAAATAAAATGATATTTATTTTAAATATATAAGATCCTTATATAAAATATAAATATTTTATCGTTTTATTTTCTTGTTTTAGAAATGTTTTTTATTGAAAAATCAATAAAACTAACTCCAAAATAAAATTTTTGATTTAAAGACACTATGATGACACCAGGCAAATCTTCCAAGACACCTATCGTCGGGAATCTAACAACCCTACTTTAATTGTCTTTCGTTTATCAAAAATATATTTCATTGTCAATTTTATCATACTAATAAATATATATTTTTTATTTCATTTTTAGTAATTTTCAATTTTTTTTGAAATTTTGAAGTAGGTTAAATGTGAAATAAATGAGCAGATTGTTTGTAATTTAAGCGTACACGTTGTTTTTTGATAGAATATTGTCAAAGCCCATATTTTAGAATCGAAATTATATTTTCTTTATTAACAATATAATTTAGAGTGCAAAACAATTGAAACAAAAACGTTTTAATTAATAAAGCAATACAAACAAAAATTTTTTATTAATAACGATCATCAATTGACACTCTTCTTTTGGTTTTCTTCTTTGGTTTACTTTTCTCACCAACAATTTTCTTGTATTCTTCAGAATCTTTGAGGTGTGGGAACTTAATTCTGTTAGTTTTCTCCCAAATTCCGAGTTGAGCGAGCGTTTGAGCGTCACAATGCTCAGGATCGACCATTATTCTCTTCTTCTGCTTTTTAACAGTCGAAACGCTATCGTACATTTGACAAGCTTCGTCATAAAAATATGTCGAAACTTTTTTCTCTTGTAAATAAGAAACAACGTCACTCATCGTTACTCCAAAGTCTCTTCTAAGGTATTCTACTATCAGCATCGTTGAAGTAACAGTAAAATCGTCAAATGATAATTGGTCCATGAAATTCCAGAACATTTTCTCATCAACAGCATCTCCGGACATTAAGAAATGCCTTAAGTTCATTGCTGCCCTTTGTTGTGAATCATTAGAAATATATCCGTGCTGGGCTATGAAATCCACAAAATTCTGCCACTGTTTCTTTCTGTATGGAAGGGAAGTATTGTCATCCATCGCAAGTTGAGAAGCTTCGACCCAAGGAGATTGAGGAACATGAGCAAGACCTTTTCCAGGGCCAATATTAGTAATACGATCAATATCTTGGTGTATTAAATCAAGTCGTTTCATAAAAGCTTTTCTACTTTGGAAAGTTGTCCTAATTGACGCGATTCTTTTTTGATTTTGACGATCAAAGCGTTTTTCAAGCCGATCTGCCATTAAATCACTTTGATTTCGCATAGTATAAAGAAGATTAACTTCTTCCCGAGTGAAAGGAGCCTTAGTTTTACTCCAGAAAATTTCTTGCTTGTATGGATCAATTAAAAGGGAAGGAGTTTCTTTATCAAGTTCATCTGCATCATCTATACCTGTTACTGGCGTTTCTGCTGGTGGAGGAACTGAATCTGGCTTCATTAAACCATCAATTGGGAAATCTTCATCGGTTTCGATACCTTCAAATGGTTCAAATCCGTATTTGAATGACTTTTTAATCTCTTGCTTGATGATTGGTATTGTAGAATCCATTTTAGGTCTGAATGATTTCATATGTGTGGCTTCAGGAAAAGGATTTTCTCCTTCTGGCAATTGAAGAGGTTTTTTAATTGTTTTGAAATTAAGTGTTCCTATGTTTGAGATAATATCCCCGGAATCTTTGTTATGAAGAAAACATGAAGAATTTCTTCTCTTTCTTTCTTCAATTTCCTGCTGTTTAAGTAATTTTTGTCGTCTTTCTTCTTCTGCTTGCTGTTTCATTTCTTGTAAACTTAGCTCTTCATCAGTATTATCATCTAAAATTGCTTTTAATAAATCTTTTGTCTTTGTAATTGAATTATCACTTTGTTTTTGTACTTCTACGACTGATTGTGCATATTGAGTCTCATGCAAAAGAGGTAACCCCTTTTCTATTTCTTTAATAGTGCCACTTGTAATCCAAGCATAAGGATCTATTGGCCTTTTGACGCCTTCCTTGGCAAATATCTTGCTTGACGTCTGTTTAAACCTTATGTCCTGAGGATTATATGGAAAAGGTATAGTTTCATTTTCATTCATATTTTCAAAATTTTTGACAAAAATTTATTTATACGTTACTTCATCATATAATATCTCTTGCCAAACTTGACCAGATTATCATCGTAAAGCAACCAGAATCAGCCACCTTAAACATAGGCCAGCAGTTAAAACCACACAGTGTTAATTATCGACAAAGAAGTAGCCCCACTCCTAGTAGTCATAAGCAGCGACATATATTTATAAAAATATATTTAATAAGTTCTAACTAGTTTTTACTATGGAGTATGCTTTCAGAGATTTATTACTCCAATAGTTCACAAAACAAAGGAATAAAATTACATTAAACATGAATTCCCAAAATTATTTTCAAAATATCAATCATCTGCATGTAAGGCTTCCCCTTGCATTTGCCTTTGAAATAAATAATTTTTAATTGGCAATTTTTTTACAATCGCAATACTTTTTATTTGAAATATGTAATTAACATATAATTTTGACACCTGATCGGAGGATTTGATCGTTCAAGACTAGTTAAACCAATGCTAGTAATATAAACAATATTAAAAATATCCGTGTGACTTTTTGACTTTTTGAGCGGAGCGAAGCGGAGCTCAAAAAAAGTCAAAAAGTCACAATCTGATATTTTAGTTCTTTTTCAATGCAGGTGTCGAAAAAATATCTGTGTCACGTTTTGAATTATCTAAAATAATTTTATAAAAAATACTCATATGATTATAATAATTACATTTTATCTAAATTACAACTATTCAAAATTTTATCTCAATTTATTTCCAAATGGAGCTCCCGAGCTCTAAATCTATGAAGACAGATTGATTTGCTCTTCTGGAAAATGCAACACAACATTTCTACTCAAAGGCAAGGTCTATTCCCCTTTGATTCAAAGCTCGATTTAGGTTATCGCAAAATAAATATCCTTAATTACCTTAAAGTTCCCCCACGAACTTCTTCCAAAATCTTTGTCTCATGTTCTCCTACAGACTTACGAGATTTTCATGAGTTATCTCACCTACTTTACTAGTAAAAATCTATTTTTATTATCATATGAGCATTTTTTTATAAAATTTTTTAGAGAATTCAAAAAGTGACTCGGATATTTTTTACCATATTGAAAAGGAATATCATTATAGTTATGACACTTTTTACGGGCTTATAAATAGAACCGAAAAAGTATCAAGCAACTATTAATATATATATATATATTCACTTTTTAATCATCCCTCCTCTCAAAAAGTGACTAATATATTTTGAATATATTTTCCTATTTAAAGTTTCTGAATTTGAAAAAAAGTCAAAATTTAGTTCAGCAAAAAATAATTGTTCAATTTTTCAGAAACTTTAAGGGTCCACTGTAAGGCCAAATAAGGCCTATCGTCGTCCCAAAAATATTGCTCAAGATGGTGTTTTTACTAAGGCCCAAACTTAAAAAAACGCAAAAAAATTAACTTTACTCTTTTGAGATCCTTATCAGATGTGCAACAATTTGATGCAGTATCGCAATTCGAATCCGATTTTTTAATGTAGATGTACTCTAACATTCTTGAAAAAATGCAAAATGATATTAATCGAGCTTTTCATTTCTGTATCATACACGAAACAAAATCATTCATTATACTAAAATTTATCAAAGTTTGAATAATGAAAAAAATAATATCTAAATTTTTACATTGAGTCGGCTATTGATATGGTCAATATTAAATCGTTTAAAAATGGGCATTGGCCAGAATAATACCCACTAAAATACACATTTTTTTAAATTTTATCAATTTGTTTTGGTATATCTTTATGATAATGAATAAAATGCTTATCTTTCATAAGTAAATACATAATTTATGCTGAAACACAAAAAATAACACGAAAATTTTTTGCCAACATTTCAAAACGAAGGATAATGCTTTGAATATATAAACAATAATACTTTGTCTAGAGAATTAAATTTGTGCTATCCAATTGTCAATTCTTTGAATTTTTTATAAAATGCACGATATTCCGGCATTAGCCTCAATAAATATAAACTACATGCATCACAATATTAGGATGTAATGGCATTAAAGCGAATTTCCTAATTTCTTCTCAATTAAATTCCTAGAAAAACTTAGGAATTAATGATTGGAAATAGGTCAAAAAAATTCCTAATATAAAATTTATACTTAAATTAAAATCAAAATTCGAAAATATCTATTTTTCAAAACACGCATCCAGAAGCGAAAAAATTCGAAAAAAATCATGTTCTTATAAAACTCGCTGATTTTGCAATTTTTATGTGATTTGAAGTGATAGAATGTATTATCATCTTACTAAAACATATACTTTATTGTTACATTCACAAAATATTAATCAGAACACTAGGAAAAGTGGATTTTCGAAAAAAGACGATAACGATTATTTGCAAATCGCCTCTCAATTTTGAGAGACTTTCAATTTTTACAGTGGACCCTTAAACGTTAAATTGTTAGGGCAATTTTTCCAAATTATTGCACTTCCAAAATTATTTATGAAGGTATTAATACATGAATGAACATCTTTATAATCGAATTCTGATCAAAGGCTTGTCCACGTCTCAATTTTTTCAAAATCATTGTAAAAAAATTCTGCTATCAGCCATAAAAATTTATTTCATCTTAGGTCAATGTATACAAAGTATGTTATTTGTGATTTTTGCTCTGAATTTAAAAGCATTGAAAACTGCCCCATAGATTAAATCTGGTTGACTCATTTATTTTTTCCTATATATGAGCATTACAATTTCAAGATTTTCACCCTCGAAATTTTCTTTAATATCAATTTTTCTGTTGTTGAAAGTAAAATGCTATCATTCTTTCCATTTTTCGCAACTTGTGAAAATAAACTATGGTTTGAAAAATTCGCGTCTACTCGATTTGAATCGAGATATGCCTGGAACGGCTGGTACTTGTCTTTTACCGTTGACACCTGGTATTGGATCGATAATTGCTTGTTCAAGAACATTCAACCTTATGGAGCTGTCCGCTTTACAAATAAAATCTCAACAATGTGCATGTTATTGAGTGATACGGTCTTTCATAGTTGCTTTTCTAATGATGATAACTTTGCTGGTGGATCATTTTACTGGAGAGAAGAAGGACAGTTTGCTGAATATGGTGTATGCTACTACAATAGTTATAGCAGCAAAAATGGCCAAGTTTTTGGTATTACAGTTAGCAAGTCAAAATATGCGACTAACCACCACAACATGTCTACTTTTTCACAAATTGGTCGTGGTGTTGATAGTGGAAATTTCTTAGCTGGCATTGCATCCGGTGAAATTATTTTCATAAATAATAATATGTCGTTTTGTTATAATCAAGAGCATGCCGGAATAAACTCTGCTAATGTTCTCTACGATAGCCTTTGGAAACAGTCTCAGTTTAAAAATTTTTCATCTTCGAATATATTGTTTAATCCAGGTCAATCAAATCAACAGAGAACTCATAACGCTATTCTCTGCAACTTTATGTATTGTAAAGGCAATTCTCTTTTTCAATCTGATACCAAATATTTAAACATTGTGAGTTGCATCATTAAAGACAATAAAGTTAGAACATTGATTGGCGTTAGAAGTGATTATATTGTAAATGTAAATGATACGTACTCGTCGTCTAATTTTCCATCAAACGCGATAGTTGAAAATCCTAGAGTTGAAAGTGAAGAATTAACTCTTTCCCTATTAGATTTTACTGTTTGCGATCGAACACCATATTACCAGGATTCTTTGAAACTTGAAAAAGTAAGCCGTAAAGCAATTGGTGCTGCATTAGCACAAATTCCATCAATGGCTTCTTCAAGAGAAGGTTCTTATATATAATTGTTAATTATTTTATGTTTTTATACTGATATGAGTAAAAAGCGGAATTTCAAAAAATAAAATTAAAAAAATTTGAGCTGTCTATGTGCAAACTTGGTAAATTAGCTTAGAATATGCTTTAAATGTTGTAGATTAATTAAAAATCAGGTAAGAAAAGATATTGGAGATAAATCAAATCTAATGATTTTGTATTACATTCTTTAAAGATTACCATTTTTCCCATTCTGAAAAGAATTCTTATTAAGTATTCTTCTGCTTTAAATAAATCTTCGATATTTATATGCAAAAATAGAAAAAAGCCAAAAACGACACGAACCAGATTTGAACTGATGCGGGACAAGCCCATGGGGACTCTAATCCCACGCCTTAACCACTCGGCCATCGTGCCTTGACAATTATATTATTTTTTCATTATAATATAAATGATATTTCGTTTTAAGACTGGTGATAATAGGGGATCTTCTACCAGTTGGTGGTAAGAAATATGATTTCAAAAATTTTTCAAAGGTCAAACTCACAAGATAACACTATAACACTCATTTTTATCTTATAATCAAACATCATTATTGTTATTAATTACATTTTAAAACCCTTCATCAAAGAATTTCAATGATTCGTCTAAGAATTCATATCACCACATATATGCATGTTACACATTTTAAATATTCTCCAAATCTATAAATTAAACCCTATTCTTCTTCAATAATTTTTGGATGCAGTAATTTTAATCACAATATCTTAGTGAACAGAAAACCAATGCTTTGTATTCATAAATATATTATAAAAATATGATATTTATTAAAATTTATTTCAAATTAATGTAATTAATGAAATCATTTGTTTTGTTTTCGTCTTTAGACTCATTAAACTTTGCTTCAGCATATCACACTCTTCTATTGGATGCTTGTCTGTGTTATTTAATAGGTTTGTGGCAAGTTGAACCAACAAATCAACAAATGTATCATTTTCTTCAAACTTATTGATGGAATATGCAACAGTCTCTAATGTTCCACACTGAACAATCATGTTTGCCATGAACTTCTCCATTGAAATGTTTGATAAATACGAAATCGATTCTCTTGCATCGATAAGGCAATCTTCTGAGGCATCCAATATGTTCTTTGCTATCTTTATTGCCTGCCCGATGCATGTTGTATATTTATCAACAAGAATTTTTCGAAATTCTTCGATTGCGGCAATGTTTCCGAGAATTCCTAGGCAGGAAGCAAGTATTTCGTGATTAGATTCGGATGATAAGTATTCGATAAGTAGATTTGGAACATCTTCTTCAATCATATCTTTTATATTTGTATCAAATCTGCTTAATTCCCATATTGCCTTTAGCATTCCTATTTTGAAGCTCTCTTCATCTGAAATGACATCATGGGCAACACATTTTGCCCATTCTTCTTCTTTTTGTAGTTCTGTTTTGAGCTTTTCATTTTCTTCTTTTAGTTCAATGAGGCTTTTCTTCTCGTTTTCGTTCTTTTCGTTAAGGAGTGCTTTGAATCTCTCTGCATTATAGAGTAATTCCTCGGTGCTTTCGCTTGTTGTGTGTAAAGTTTGAAGAAATTCTTCCATTAGATGAAAAAAAGTTTACGTAATCAAAGTGATGTAGGAAAAGTGACAACTTTGATGGGTTTTATAATTAAGAACTAATAATATGTTATAAGAAGTAACAAGTTGATGTTGAGTACATTATGCGCAGAAAATTCATTTCATTCGCTAAATAAATGAAAAAAGATTTTTATTATTGAGGTACATGTAGTTTATACCATAGTTAAAAAGGCTAATAATATCATTGGAAAACGAAACATCAAGTTTATGATTTGCATTTAACTACAATGTTAATACAAGTTATAGTGAAAAGGCTATTTATATCATATGATATTGAAAAAGATTTTTATTACTGAGATATATGTATTTTATACAATATAGAAAAGGTTAGTTATCTTATAAAAAAAATTTATTATAATAAACTTAAATTTAGCCATTAAAACAAACAAAAATTAGTAACATGAAGTTTGAAAACTAGTTCATGATGAGGGGAATGCGTAGTTTATGCGAAATTATTTCAGTCCTTTTTATTAGTTGAATTTTGAAGTTTCTGAACAACTACAAAATTAACAAAATCATAATTAAGATTATAAAAGTCATTTGAACGATGTAAGGACTTTTTAAATTTCAACTTTGAATTAACTATGAATATGTAAGAAGAATCCGATTCATCAATAGAAAATCCAGTCCTATTTGGGCTAATTTCAATTTTGCTATATTCAAGTGCATCTATTAAGCTTTCAAATACTTGTGGATTTGAATTATATTGTAGAATGCTTGATTCAATTGGATTTCCTGCGCATGTGTTCATTACATGCTTTTGCTTTGCATAAGACACAAAATATGTTTTCTTTTTATCTGTATCTATAGTTTTTGATTTGTGTTTTTCAATAACTAAAAGATTCTCTGTAGGAAACTGGATTTCTTCATCCTCAAGAGGTTTGTATGCTGAAAGAATAAATTTACCAGACATTTTGACTAAAATGGCATTCGATATCTCAGAATTTTTAATAATTTCCGAAACTTTCATTTTTTCTCCAATAAAATACTTGGGATATGGATCTTTATTAAGTTCTTGACACCATATCAATTGACCTTTAGGTTGTACTGGCATTAAAATTCCATAATGAGATCTAACAAATCTGGAAGGAGTTGAAGGGTATGGATCATGTTTTGGATCATATGAAAAGTAAAAGCAATCATCTTTTGGTTCAACTTTAACAGGAACAAGAGATTTTTGTTCAATTTGTAATAAATCTGGATTTTTAACAATTGGATGAGGCCAAAGAAAATTGGCTGATACGAAATCGTAAATGTTTGATCGTACATATATTAGCGCTATATATTTTTCACTTAAATCAGAACTTTTTGTGAAATGATCTGTTTGTACTATTCCATTGTTAGAAATTTTGAAGGAACCTGCATTTGTATTGACATTTGTATAGAGAACACCGTTTTCTTCTAAAATTATTGAAATTATTTTGTAATATTGTCGTTTAGGAATGGCAATTATTTCTTCAACTAGTGATTTCTCGGATGATTCAGGTAAACAAACAATAATATCAGGATCATTTTCAGATTCTACCTTTGAACCCGGTAAATTATTCAATATTTCCAATTCGAATCCGCATTCATTACAAAATTGAGTAACGAAACATATTACATCATCTCTAATGTCAGTGTCTGCAAAGTTATTTGGAAAAATCGAAAACAAATTTGATAATGCAAGATTTTCTGTGATTTGAGAAGAAATCATGTATTTTACAAGAGGAAAGGAATTAAAACATGCCGTAATATGAGGACAAATAGATAAAAATGCATTGATACATGCTGAAAATCGTGGAAAATGATTCAAAATCATTGGTTTAAAAGGTAACATTGTAATTAATACATTAATCGAAGATACATTTTGTGGTATGAGGCATTTTCTAGAATATCTTGCTGTTATATAGTCAATTTTCTGAGTTTGAAATAATGATTTTTGATTCCATAGAGTAAATTGGATAAATAGCACACTGTTTAAGTTCTTAATAGATGATGATAACTTTATTCGATCGAATGTTGATAAAATCTTACAATCGAAAACGTTTTGATCTTGAATTTGCTTTAATCTAACTTTAATCAAGTAAATTGTATCAGAACTGTTAGATTGATAACTGATGATCTGTTTCTGACCTAGATTCAAACATACTTCAGGAATGTTCGGTAAAAATGAATTCACCAACATTTCTGATTTTAATATAAAATGAAGAAGAAATATTTTTGAGCTTATTGTTTGGTAATTCATGCATAATTGTTGCATGCTAAGTAGTGTCAATGTGTAAACCTCTCAATTTTATCGTCGGGGAAGCAACACAATTCCCTCAAAAATATTGAAAAAATATAGAAAATAAAATGAATTAAGATGTACTTAAAATGAGAAATAGATTATGATATTAGATTTTAGAAAAAACAGACTTTTGATATAACTTTTGAGAATCTCATATAAAAAAAAGCATTTAAAAATAAATTTAAATATCTTATTTATTTTACTATTGTAAATATATTCTGAGATTTTTAGAAAAAAACACTTTTCATAAGTATTCAATATTTGAGAATACGGTCCAAAAAAAATAGATTCTCTTATATTTGCTTATATAAAAGGAAACTCTCTATCAGATGCGAATGCATGAATTCAGCACCTCTGATAGAGAGTTTCCTCTTATATAAGCGGATCTTTTTCATGAGTTATTGTTAATATAAAAACATAAAAAGCTACCAATATGAGAAATTAAACCCTGCGAGGTGCCAGTCTAGAACTGGCGCTTCGCAGGGTTTAATTTCTCTTGACAAATGACAAAACTTGTTCGCAATTGTGAACCATTGCGAGCAAGTTTGCCAGATATCTGGAAGGAATTGCTCCTTATGATATATGCATTGTAACTGTATATATCATAAAGAGCAATTTCTTCAATTAAACGCAAAAACTTTGGTGCAATCGTTGCTGATTGCACCAAAGTTTTCGAACTTTCCCGAGGGAATTGGAGGGTGAGAGATACATAGTCTATCTATGTACCTCCCACCCTCCAAATCCCACTCTAAATGGGAGAAACTTTGTTCGCATGTTATCTTATTCAAACAAAGTTTCTCCCATTTAGAGAAGGAATAGGAGCCTACCAGGCACTGATATATAATCAGTGCTTTGTAGGCTCCTATTCCTAATAGAAAGTTCGAAAACTCGGTCGCAATTGCATCTGATTGAAAGGTGACCAAACTATTTTTTGAAAGTCCGCCATAACTTTAATGGTACTATTTCAGCGTGTACAATGAATACAAAAATTCTAAGAGTGCCACATAAAATAGTACTTTAGACTTGAGTTAATGCTACCAAGCAAATGTTAAAAAGATGACTTTAGTGTTTTGATAATCAAAGATTAAAATCATTATTGTCTAAATCAATAATCATAACGACAGAAGTTAATGTTTTTTCATAAGTGCTTTAAATCCACTTTTAAAAGTATACCTCAAAAATCAAAATATCAAAAAAAAATTGGCCGATAGGTTTGGCTTTAATTTTTGTCTGCTTTTATGATTTGATATGGATGTTATAATTTTAAAAGTTGAGCCAAATTCACCAATAGATTTTTGAGATTTGCAAATACTCAATAATTTTCAGCGTGTTATCTTTTATTAAAAGAACTATTTGGTTTCAGTATCATATAAATTGATATTTACTTTCTATTTGAACCTTCATTTAGCTAATGATTTAGTAATACAGATTTCATCTAATCCTTATAAGAGAATTTTGAATTTGTTATAATAAAAAAACAAACAGATATAGCTTACACTTCTATAATAAAGATACCTTTTATAGAAATCAGTATGAAATGTGTTTTGGCTTATTGGAAGCATATCAGACATAATTGCCATAATCAAAAAATCTATATACCCAATAAGTAATAAATTTGTCGATATAGATTTTCCATAAAATTAGTTTTTAGTCTGATCTTAAAATAAATTTAATTTTTTATAAAAAAAATCACATTTAAAAGTACCTTTTTAGTAGCTCGAAATCCTGTTGGTGGATTTCGGGCGTACTTCAAAATTAGCTTTTCTTCTACATATGCAAGCTATATTTTAAATATGGAGCAAATCGGATCGGCGAAAGGAGTTTAGTTACCTTTTCTGATTGCGACCGAGTTTTCGAACTTTCCCGAGGGAATTGGAGGGTGAGAGATACATAGTCTATCTATGTACCTCCCACCCTCCAAATCCCACTCTAAATGGGAGAAACTTTGTTCGCATGTTATCTTATTCAAACAAAGTTTCTCCCATTTAGAGAAGGAATAGGAGCCTACCAGGCACTGATATATAATCAGTGCTTTGTAGGCTCCTATTCCTAATAAAAATTTGAAAACTTTGGAGCATTTGATTATTGAATTTTGTCAAGAGAAATTCAACCCTGCGAAGTGCCAGTTCTAGACTGGTGCCTCGCAGGGTTTAATTTCTCATATTGGTAGATTTTTATGTTTTTATATTAACAAAAACGAATGAAAAAGATTTGCTTATATAAGAGGAAACTCTCTATCAGAGGTGCTGAATTCAGGCATTCGCATCTGATAGAGAGTCTCCTTTTATATAAGCGAATATAAAAGAATCTATTCTTTTTTGGAGCGTATTTTCAAATATTGAATACTTATGAAAAGTGTTTTTCCTAAAAATTTAATATAATGCTTAGCACAATATATAAAATTAAAATATCTATAATTATTTTCTATATCACACTTTTCATAGAGGTAGGGCAACGATAGGTCAAAAAGGCTTCTCTGATAGATTTCCTTGCTTTTTGGATATGCTATAATATATAGCCTAGCATGATAGGATATGATGTCAAAAGTTAGAACATAACTTAGGATCTTGAGAAAAATGAAAAACAAAAATTACATAAAAAAAGAAAAATTTTATCTAATTTGTTTTTTTGGACCGAATAAGTAATTTTATTGAATTTCAATACGACACATAGATTTTATTATTAGTAATAAATATAATGGTTTACTATTAACAAGGAACCTAAACTAATGAAAATTTGATTTCAAATATTGTATATGATTATCATAGATTACCAAAATATATTGCTATTTATGAGGATATAATATTGATTATTAGTAAATTGTATAAATTTAATAAATATACCATGAATATTGAATGAATTTCTTGATTCATAGGGGTAAAACGCGCTTTTATATGATTTAGACAGAGAATTTATGAGATGTAAATAACACAATAAAGGTTTATATTGAATATTTTCTAAAAATAAATCGAAATTATAAAAAACAATACATTTATTCATTGAAACTACTTGGACAAATATGAAACAAGCATTCAGGCAATACTTTTGAGACTTCAACGCATCTGATAATTTTTATATAACTTCACCTCTTATGCTTAGAGTGGAGGTATTGAGATCGTATAAGTATAGATGAGCTCACATTCAGATATGATGTGTGAACTTCTGTTTTCACTACAATTTTGAATCAGAATAAACTCAAAACAAGAATAAAATGATATACTCACTCTCTAAATGTGTTCGAGATTTAAAGTTGTATGAATAAAACGATTCATCTTTCGAAGCCTCCCATTTAATGAGAGACTTCGAAAGATGAATGTATTCATGTAGATGAAATACTATATATGACCATGTGTGATACTAAAGATATCAAAATGTTCATTTTTAAGTGCAATAGAAGGGTTATCTCTCGTAAAATCTCAATTTAAGGAAGATTTAGAAAGAACTCCTTTCCTAAGTAGATAGTGTGTGGTTTCTGTCTTTTGGTTGATCAGGAACTATGAAATTAAGTCGGACAGAAAGAAGTTCTTTCCAAAACAGACTCCAAATGAGTTGTTCGAAAAGAACTTCCTTCTGTATATGGATAATTGTAGTTACCGCACTGAAGTATGTGATTGTGATGATGGAGTTCTCGATAAATCTAAAATCGGATTAAGATTAATTGAAAACTCAAGTAATTCTTTGAAATCTTGTGTTGTCTGGCACTATAATAACCAAAGAATGAGAATATTATGTTGAATGATGAGTACGTGTGCTCGGCATTCGCCGAGCGAATTGAGTTTAACGTACTATGAAAAGTGACAAATTTGGGCTTTTTTTCCTAGGGTTATGATCTCTTCCTTTCTGCTCAATACGACAGAAATGAAAGAATGAATTTGTACTCCCTAATTGATTACTACAATCTGTATCTATCTTTAACATAGAATTAGCTGCATTGTGATTTATACTCCAGAATTATTCAATTTAAGATCAACCTCGTAAATTTTAATCATATTGCACCAATACTCCTACGTTGAGATAAGAACATGATTATACATACCAAAGCCCCATATTAAAAATCAAAATTTAGCACCTCCATTATGCAACCACATTATTCGTCGCAAATAAGTATATTTACGCATATTATGATGCATATTCACACAACTCGTATACATGAAAAGTTATTAAAATCAGACAAAATTATTGCAATAAGGAAAAAAAAACAACTTTATTATATATGTTAGTAATGAATTACAAATATTTTTACAAAGAATGCTCAATACTTCATATAATCTTCGAATATTTCTTATTACAAGTTAATACATTTTGACTCGAACATGATAAACAAAAGCCGACACGCTGATTACTACATTTATGAAAATATAGTACGTTTCCATTCATCTGTTTACTTGTTTTTGGAGAGAGGGTCAAAGTTGCTATTTGTCACTTTTCCACAAGAATATAATGGGGAAAAGTTATCATATAGTTGATCTCATTCACTGAGGTGAGAGATGCATGTAGTGTAATGGGATAAACAGTGTGATTGCTGCTCTAAGTCCTAGGTTCGAGACACA